AAAACAAGTCTTCTCATTCTCTCAAGTCATAAATCCCTCCCTTTGGTTATTCACTTGAGGAGAAGATCTTGGTACATCGGTGGGATCCGTAATGTCCCATGATTGTGCATTTTCAGCCAATGTATCAAAGTAGTCTGAGGCCTCATCAGGGTCTTTACTCAAAAACTCCCCATTACACATCATACCTATGAACTGTCGAAGCCCCGGTGTGATTTCCTCATAGAAGAAACTCATCAACTGCCACGGTTCAAAGCCATGGTGTGGAATGGATTGTAGCAACTCCTTATACTGATCCCAACATTGGTAGAATTGCTCATTGGGCTTCTGATAAGTGCATAATATTGCATATTTGACGGCCTCATTACATGAATTTTAACTCAACTTTTGCATCTAAATACTTAGAGTTAGCCAAAATTATGAATAATGTTGAATTTTTTATGTTGCAGATAATTATAGCTTAAATGATGGATTTTAGAACCTTGAAACTAAGTATGGAGGAGTGGTGAAGAGATGGACACATTACATGAGGATTTGGAGGCTTAAAATTGAAACAAATCAAGGAGGTATTGGTGTTTGGTAACATAGGCATCAACAGCCACACCATTTTATAGCAGTACCTCAGTTTTCCTCCTTTCTGACCATGATCCATTTTGAATCTGAAATAGTTCAAAACATAAATGTTGTAGATATGGATGTCTTATGTATTGTGTCAAAATATAAACTCAATCGAACGGTTGGAGTAAAATTTATGATGATTCTATGAAAATTGGTCTACAGTAGAAACAGTACCACTATTGATGTCTTAGCATGGGAAAGAAGGGGGCAACCAGGAGAGTTGCAGGATAGGCATGTCTTAGCATGTGCGATGCATCAATTCATCCCACTATTTATGGGAGGCCTGCACACACCTTGGGGGGACCACCATGGACGAAAATGCAAGGCTCACACTCCATATATTCAGCATTCACAAGCCATTGAAGGGGTGGCTACCTAAGCTTAGAAAGCTCCAAGGAGGAAGATGATGAATCATTTGAACTGTAACTTTAGACTGCTTCCTTCTTGAAAGTTGGGTTAATACTATCCAAAGTGGTTGAAATGTTGCTTCACTTGGTCATTTTTCAACTGCATTGAGTAGTGGGTTGGAAAATTAATGACAGGCAATGTTCCAAGTGAAAGACTGGTGGAATTTGGTAAGGTGTCGAGTCTGACTTGTCAACCCTTTACCATTCATTGCCTTCTCCGAAAAAATTGCTTGTCAGTACCATTGCCATATCTGTAACATAAAAACTATTCCTCCCTTGTCTGTTTCTGATTAGTCGTCATCTAATTGGTGACATTGTTGCCACACATTTGCCGAAGGGTTTCTGGCTGTTATGTAACCTCTATAAGGTACTTGATCAGATGAAGTAGTCATTTGCTAGCTGCTTTGATCAGATTATTGAGTGATTTTGGAGTATTGAGTCTATATCATTTCATGCTATTTTGTGTCTAACTGTGGGAAGTACTCCTACAGTCCTACATTCTAACTAGCACAAATAGCATACCAATTTATGTTGGGGTCTATTCCGAACTAATTCCACATTATGCCTTTATCATGTAAAGGAACACCAAAACTCATCCTTGGTACATGTTGCAGGCATATAAGCTTTACAAGAAAGGTAGGAGCTTGGATATTATGGACTCTATATTGGCATCATCAGCAGTTCCTGATCAGGTAGCATTGTGTATACAGATTGGGTTGCTTTGCACCCAATCCGATCCACAGTTACGACCCACCATGCGTCGTGTGGTGGTGATGCTATCAAAGAGGCCAGCCATCCTTGAAGAACCAACTCGACCTGGATACCCTGGTACAAGGTATAGAAGATCGCGAAGGGCCACCGCAGCATCATCCTCTACTGCCGGAACTTCCAGTGAATCCAGTTCTCGTACGTTTGGTTCCTCCACCAGTGCCACTGCGAGCACTGCAACCTTTACAAGCCCAAGATTATACGATCCTCATGGAAAACGCCCCATGAAAGGTTAGGTCGATTCTTATAGGAGAGTTTCTTGTTCATTGTGCATAATAGTTTTTTGGTGTTAAAAAAAATTATGATGTTACTTTTTTGCTATGTAAATTATTAGGGGATGAGTTAAAAG